GGAAAAGCTACAATGACCTCCACCAGACTGAGTCCAGTACAGCTAGATGGTGCCTGGCTACCACCATTGACTGCTCTGACCGGGATCACAATAGAGGGTCCTGGACAGAGCTGGAAAAGGATGTAGAACAAAATTCTAACTCACAAAAAAGAGACCAGATTTACTGGCCTGACAGACTGGAGAAACCCCAAGAGTATGGGCCCTGGACGCCCTTTTAGCTCAGTGGTGAAGTCACTCTCAAAGTTCACCTTTCAGTAGGGGATTGGACAGCCTTATAAAACAAAATGGGACTAATGAGGCACAGCAGTCCAGGGACAAGGACTAGAAGGCAGGATGGGACAGGAAAGCTGGTGATAGGGAACCCAAGTTTGAGTAAGGACAGTGCTGACATGTCATAGGCTTGTTAACCATTGTCATTGGGCAATATGTGTACTGTTTAATGTGAAACTATTTGTTCTGCAAACCTTCATCCAAGGTAAAAAAAAAAAAAAAAAAAGAAGAAGAATTATGCACGTAAGATAAAATTGACAACAGCAACTCAAAACGTTTGATGGGAAGCCTAGGGGGCAGTGAGTTGAAGACAATGGTGATGGAATAATTTTAAAAATGATAGTGAGAATAGCAGCACAACTAGAAGAATGTAATTCATGTCACTGAATTGTACATGTAGAAACTTTTGAAATGGTGTAACTTTGGCTATGTATATTTTCACCAAAAAAAAGTCCTCCAAGGTCGAGAAGGGAGAGTGTTGACATGTTGACATGTTGTGGGGTTGTTAACCACTGTCATAAAACAATACGTGTACTGACTGTTTAATGAGAAACTATTTGTTATGTAAACCTTCATCTAAAGTACAGTAAAAAAAACTAAAAAAAACTACTATGTATTCTTAGAAGTGAGAATTATGTTGTATAATGCTTCATATGTGTAGAAAACTTTTTCTAATTATATTTTCATAGATCTTGTAATTTTTTTATAACAGAAAAAATTTAGAAATTCATATATTTCGTGAAAGTTAATGTGAAGCTGTTAGTACTTCTATTAAGCATTTAAAATTTATAACGAATGGAGTTATTTAGGCTTGGAGACTAGCCAATTGTTGAAAGTTAAGAAAAACACAAGAGAGATAGCAGAACTAATTAAGTTTCCCTGTAAAAAAGTTTATATGCATTGTTTAACTTCAGACATACTGTGTAAACCTGTGATTTTCAATGCTCTTAAATCTTCTCTTTTCTTTTACCTTTTGGTGGAATCATTAACCCACTTTCAGTTAATCATTTGTTCGTAACCATAGGTAGTAAAAGGCACTTTCATCTTGCTTGCTAATTTTAGACAAAAACTGACTTTGAGTTCTTGCTGTGTAAAATGCATTCTACCCTGTTTGCATACAGAAGTTAAAAAAAAAAAAACTTGTTTCTTTATGCAAAACTGTGTTTCTATTTATGTTGCTTTTTTGCTTTTTGAAAATTCTGTGTCTCAATCTGCCACTATCTGACTCTGAGTCGGTCTTTTTTTTTTCCCAACCAGAACTCTTTATCCTTCACAGATTCTCTTTCTGTATATGCCTGTCTTCATGTTCTTTTCCCCCCCTTGTAGGACTAAATGAGTTTCACCCTGTTTATTCTCCCCTTCTACACACCAAAATGTCCCTCTTGTTTGGCAGTTCACATCAAAGAGATTCCTGCTTACATGAGACCCTAGATTCCCACCACACCGTGTGTGGCATCACGGGTTTGCAGCTACAAGGGTGGAAAACCAGAGAGCTAAGTTACTTTTTGGTTCTCCAGCTTCTGAAGTGGAATCTGGTGCTTTCTGAAGTAGGAGCAGCGGCAAAGAGAACGCAGAGCTCTCAGGAACTCATCACCGGAGATGTCCTTCAGACATGAGAGAAGTGGTGTCATTTTGGTAAGGAGGTTATAAAATGTTCAAAGCTTCCAGGCAAAAAGATTTCTCCTGGCCTGACTGAGTAAAGAGGGAATTAGGAAAGCTTTTGAAAGAAGGAGAAAAGGGGCATTAAAGCACCAAAGAGAGGGAGGCATCTGGGAGTAGAAATCAGATAAAGGGAGAAGATAAACACATGGGGGCATCTTAAGGCGAAAGAGAATGTATGGTTTCCTGACAAATCAGCTTAAGAGGGAGCAGTTGTTTTTCCTGTTTTTCTTCACTTTTCTTCTTTTGAGGTAAATGTGTTGCTGCTTAGGCTGAATGAAAGAAAACAAAAACAAAGAAGCAAACAAACAGAAAAAAAATGGTAGGAAAGAAGGCAGAGAGAGGGAGAGAGAGAGGACAGAAGGAAGAAAGGAATAATCTAAGAAAGAAACTATGAAAGAAATAAACCGCCATTATTGAACAAAAAATCTTTCGCTACTTTACAATTTATTTTTTCCTTATAAAATACTAGTAAATTACTCTGGTTAGAAGAAAACTGAAAGTTGATGTATTTAGAATCAGAAATAGGACCAATTTTATGCAAAATATATAATAACTTTTTTTCTAAAGTGCCCAAAAATCTCACAAAAATATCCTCATTGACCCTTCTTTCTAGAATGCAGTTGAAAAGAAAAATCGCTTTCATTCTACAGTAGAGAAAATGAGACACGAAAGTCTTACATGGTTTTAAAATAGGGAGATTTTAAGTACATCATCTTTAATCAGACAAACAGTCCTGGGTTCAAATGCTGACGTCATCATTTACAAGCTGTAGGCTTGAGAAGTTACATAATAAACAACCTAAACCTCAATTTCTTCATGTGTAAGTTGGGGATAATTATGTCCTTATTTCTTAGGGTTGCTATGAGGTCAAAATAAGTTAATTTAAAGCAGAAAGCCTAGTACATCAGAATCTGCTGCTATAATATTACATTAATTATCCTATAGTCCTGGAGATCAGAAGTCTGACATAGGTCTCAATGGGCTCAAAATCAAGGTGTCACAAAGTGGTGTTCCAATCTGGAGTCTGTAGAGGAGAATCCATTTCCTTGCCTTTTCCAGCCTCCCGAAGCTGCCTGCATTTCTTGGCTTATGGACCCTTCCTCCGTTTACAAAGTCAGCAACATTGCATCTATTCTCTTTCTCATTCCAACTGGAAATGCTCTCCACTTAGAAGGACTCATGTGATTAGGCTCAGCCCACGTGGATAATCCAGGATAATCTCTTCTCAACATCCTTAACCTTAATCCCTTCTACAAAGTCCCCTTTGTCATGTAAGGCAACATATTTATAGGTTACATGGTTTCGGAAGTGCCCTGGTGACGCAGTGGTTAAGAGAGCAGCTGTTAACCAAAATGTCGGCAGTTTGAATCCACCAGCCTCTCCTTGGAAACCCTATGGGGCAGTTCTATTCTGTCCTATAGGGCTGCTATGAGTCAGAATCAACTTGACGGCAGTGGATTAGTTTTTTTGTTAGGGTTTAGGAAGTGGATATCTGCGTCTACCACAGCTTGGCACACCAGAATGAATTCAATCAACGTTATGAATTTATTATTATTACCATCATTACTATTTTATTGGAATTAGTATGGTCATACACCTTTAGACTCTCGTAACTTAGATAGTATTTAGTGCCCCCATCACACACACCCTGCTCATTTCCCAGCTGAATCATAGCCCAAGTGATGCGACACTTGATTTGCAAAAGTCATCCTGCTAGTTAATACTGATGTTCGTACAGCTCATAGCTCTTGACACATCCCAATGTTTCCCATATTCAGTGCTAAGGACATTAACTAAAGCATATACTTTAAATGTATTTATACCTCATTTGAAATTTAATTCATATAGAACCTCAAAAAAGTCAAGCTAAATTAAGTTGTATAAACCAACAACATGAAAAATTAAACACGATGCTTTTTTTTCTCCTTTACACAGAAATACTTTAAAAACATTAGGAAGAATGTTTATAACTGCTAAACTACATTGAAGTTCAGTTAGCATTTAAGTTTTGAAAAAAAGTGTTTTTAGAGCACAAATGTTCTATCTTTATGTCTACCTTTTCCCATACTTGCTTTTTCTTTTCTTTTCTGATTTTGCTAGCATAGTTCTGAATAAATATTCCTGTTCAGCAGGAAAAAGTAATACTCAAAGTACTTCTTTCTAATTTATGATAGCATTACATTGCTAACCTATTATTTCATTTTCCTCTAGGATTTTCCACATTGATTCAAATGACCATCCACCACATTTGTTTGAAGTATGCTAGGTTACAGTTTGAAAACTTCTATCCATATATCCTGCTAGAGGGAAATAAGCATAGACTATGGGGCAGTTAGCTCTACTCTGAACATGGGGTCACTATGAATTGGAATAGACTTGTGTACACCCAACAACAACAATAAAGGTATCTCAGAGTCCCTGGGTGGCACAACCAATTAGTCACTTGACTACTAGCCAAAGGGTTGGCAGTTCGAACCCATCCAGAGATGCCTGGAAAAACAGGCCTGGCGATCAGCTTCTGAAAGGTCACAGCCTTGAAAACCCTATGGAACAGTTCTACTCTGCACACATGGGGTTGAGTTGAAACTGACTATACAGCAACTAACAACAACAACAAAAAGGTATCTCACAAATCTAATTAACATAAGCTAATAGCTCTATTTCGTTTTGATGAACATTTTATATAGATAAATCTAGGCAATATTATGTTTCTCTTCTAACATGTTCAAATCAAAACTATAATAAGGGGTTTGATAGTTATTGTCTCTTATTCCCCCAATAAAATTATAAACGTCTACACTTTTTAGCTGTTCTTTTCAGGCAAACTTTTCAAACTTTCTAGACATTTGACACGTGGCAGTCTTAAACTTACTTGAATAATGAAAAACACTAATAGAAAGGTTCTATCAGTATCCAAAGAAATCACTCTCAATTATTACTTTGTTTTGTAAATTCTGCATTCTTTTTCTCTTTAGGACCTCAGGGGGAGAGATGTGTTTCATCAACAGATAAATGGTACTCTCTGACTGTAAGTCTATTCACCAATAAATTTAGCTGTTTGAAATGTGCATAGGTGATGACATTTCATGTTTACATGTAATTAATAGAAAATTTTTTTTTCTACAATGTCCCAGCCACATTATATCTCCTAATGTTACATCCCCTAATGTACAAAGGATCTAAGCATCAACACAAGCACTCATGAGGCTCAATGTGTCTATTATCCTATTACCAGTTTTCCTTTCTATGGGGCATTTTTTCCCTATTAATTTGTATTCAAATTGCAGGTTATTATTAGGTAGAGACTACAGATATTAGAATGTCATTTTTTGTTTATGGGAACTGTCTTAGTTATCTAGTGCTGTTATAACAGAAATAACACAAGTGGGTGGCTTTAACAAACAAATTTATTTTCTCACAATTTAGGAGGCTAGAGTCTGAATTCAGAGCACAAGTTCTAGGGGAAGGCTTTCTCTCTCTGTTGGATATGGAGGAAGGTCCTTATCACTTCAGCTTCTGTTTCCTGGTCCCTTGGACATGTCCGTGTTTCTTAGCATCTATCTTACCCCATCTCTGCTTCTCTTGCTTGCTTGTTTAATCTCTTTTATATCGCAAAAGAGACTGACTCAAGACACACCCTACACTAATCCTGCCTCATTATAACCACAAGGCATAGAGATTAGGAATTACAATATATATTTTTGGGGGACACATTTCTGGGTGACTCATAGGGTTACAAATTACAATACGTATTTTAGGGGGCCACAATTCAATCCATAATAGGAACCCATACAGATTCAAACATAATGGCACTCATCTGAGATCTTCAAAAGAAAGATTTATTCAGTGCAATAGAAGGGATGATTAAGAAGGAGAGAATGCAATAGAAGTATATTTTAATTTAATTTTACGTGGAGAGTACATTTAGAAACCACAATCCTAAATCCTAATCTATATCCTGCTTTCTTCTCAGCCACCCTTCTAGACACACACACTACATCTCAAATACCTACGGAATACATACAGGAAGTAGAGTATCACAGGACACAAGTGTGTACTTAAGAAAGAACAATACTTTTACTCCTGTTCTCAAAGGCACTACAGGCTAAGAGGATTCAGTGTCACAAGGCAAACATGAACAGATATATTTATAGGATTTCTTTTTTTTAACGTTTAAATGGTTTTATCCAGCATAGTCAGTCACTTGACACCACTCTTCTTGTACTGAGACATCAACTAAATGTTTGTGAAAGAGTAGGGATAGAAAAGGTTCAAACAGCTGGCATTTAGAAAATGGATGATGATAAAAACTTTACTCCAACACTTGAATGAAGACGACACTGGCAACCTAGAAACTCTGAATAAAGAAAACTTTAGACGAGAGGCCATTTGCAACCTAAGACATAATAAGTTTTTGAGTCTCACCTCTCCAAATTCCTTCTTAGTTACTTTTCTAGGTAAACAACTATCTTAAAATGTGTGCTGGAATCAGATCCAAGTGGTAGCAACTGATAGCCGTAGCACTAATTCTACTTTGAAAAGTGCCACTGGCAAACGACTGGAATGTGAAAAATAACACAGGTGAAAAGCATTAAAGGGTGAACTAGCTGAGTGGTTCAAGTGATACATGGAAAAAATACCCAGTTCAGTTTTTTGTACAGTAATAAGTTTTTACTCTATGCCAGCACAGCCTTCAGAGAATGTAGTTTATATTTAGTCCAATAAAACAGATTGAATTATGCCTAAAGGCAGCTTAAATGTGTGTATTTATGCTGACACCTCTTTTATCTATTTTCCCTGGGGGTTGAAATGTTCTGGATGAGAAAATTTTCAAGATAATAAAACCATTTCATTATAAAACTATATATCTACACACACACACACACACACACACACACATATATACATATATATAAATAATGCTCCCACATTTTGAATGGCAATTTTTCTAAAATGCACTGAACACTGAAATATCCATCAAATTTAATAATATGTTGAGCAGAATCTATCCTACTTTTGATGATGTGGGGGTCATAACTATTACCCTATATTTAAGAGAAAGAATCCCCTGGGAAGTACCATGTTGTTTGAGTGTGCTGGGCCATCCATTAAATGCCTTCTGAATTCTGTGCTTCTCTAGATTCTGTAAGCACCTCCATCACTCTCTCAACAGGCATTTCTTAGTGTGTCTGCTTTAACCATTTTCCCTTCCTCTCCCAGCTATTTCTAAGCTGCCATTAATTAAGATGCAGTAAATCATAAGAGGGAATCAGACAGCTAAGACTTGAAAACAAGTGGTCTTATTTGTTACTTAAGAATCCAAGTCAGTCAGCTCTTATTTATTTATATTTTTCACTACCTAAGTCCTGGCAGCTCTTTTCATCTTTGTTTAAGAATATCCTTCCAGATAGAGGGCCGGTTCTGAATCAATAGGATTGTTAAGATTGCCCAAAGTCTGACTTATGAAAAATATGCTATACATGGATTTATTTTTTTGCCTTAAACCACCAGTATTTAATGTGTACTTTGATATGAAAACAAAGTGGTACTTACTAGCATCATATAGGAGCATGTAAGTAATAAAAAATGTCAGATCTCCCCTACTCCAAAGACCTACTGAAACAGAATTTTGACAACAACTCTGCATGATTTGCATGCCTGTTTAATTTGGGAAGTACTGGTTTAGAACACAATATTCTCCAACAGAAGCCTCCCCCATGACAGACTTTCAGTACCATGTCCTAAGAGATCAATCAGTTTTCTGTTCTTGGATATCAATTTTTCCTTTAATACTCTCCAGTCAACCATCAAGTGTCTTCAGTGTATAACATAACCTTAGGAAAAAGAAAATTATCTTTAAGATGAAATCTCAGGTCTTAAATAAGTTCCCCAATGCAGTTGAGTTGATTCCAATTCATAGCAACCCCATAGGGTTTCCAAGGCTGTAAATCTCTATGAAGCCCACTGCCATATCTTTCTTCCGTGGAGCCAAAACGTTGACCTTTTGGTTAGCAGTTGATCACTTGAACCACTGTGCCACCAAGGCTCCTTCTTGAACAAGTTAGTTGCTGTTAAATAGCTGCGCTATTCAACTCAGTTTAGAACTATGGATCATAGTGTTTTCAAGCCTAAAGGAGAATTATAAATCATTAAGTTCAATCTCCCTCATGTTGCAGAAGAGAAAACTGAAATCAGAGAGGTGAAGTGATTTGGTTTACCACATTCATCAAGCATTAACATGGTGTACTCTATCTTAATCACAAAACCACACATTCATTTAACCAAAAACCCACTGGTGTCGAGTCGATTCCGACTCATAGTGACCCTATAGGACAGAGTAGAACTGCTCCATAGAGTTTCCAAGGAGCAGCTGGTGGATTCGAACTGCTGAACTTTTGGTTAGCAGACAAGCTCTTAACTCATTTTTTTTTTAATACTTTGCTTCCTGTTAAAATTCATGCACTTACTCTTTTTCCACACATGACTGTAAGTCCTCTTTCAAGGGTTTATCCTCTCTTAGATTCCTCTCAACACGTCTTTATGAAGATTTATAGTAAGGTCCCCATTTATTCACATCTCACACTTAGTTTTATCTTTGCTACTGGGCCTGGTCTAGGTTAGTGTTTTTTGTTTTGTTTTCCCCTGGGGCTCCTCAGATCTCCATTTACGTCTGGATTGACCTTTACATTCAGGTCGGTGGCACTATGTGTAAGCCCTGTGACCATTGGTGGCTCAGTTTAGGGACTCTTCTTAAACTAGCAACTTAATCTTTCCTCAGTACGTCCTCGGCTTTCCTGACCTGTTCTTGCTCTCCATCCGTAAGCCTTTGCATTCTTATCTCTGGAGTTAGCTTAAACATGTCAACTCTACCTCCCTCTCTGATCTCATCCCTACTCTTAAGAAGAAGTACTAATATAAGTCTGGCAAAGGCATGATTATAATTTCTGGTGAAAGGAAACAAAAAATTAAAAGTTCTTTTTTAAGGTCCTCTTCCTTGGAATCTCTTGGAGTTCTTGGATTACTTGCCCTAGTTTTTCTCTTATTCCTCCTGTGTAGCTGGTAGAGAAAGATGGGCAGGAGCACTTCATTTCCACCTCAGAAGTCCACAACAAACCAGGAACAAGGAAATTCGGAGTTGGTCCCACAAATGTACTTTTAGGCTAGGCCTTATGTTAGGTGGACATAAGAAACTCACCCCAGCTAGGCAAGGGCAGAGGCAACATGAAGATTTAACGCTAACTGCTAATTAGTAATAAAAGGCATTCATTCACCTGGGATCCTGTTGGGTATAGCTCTCTGAGGAGCTGGGTGGAAGATGGGGGTGGGAGAAAAGAGTGGGAAGAGGCCTTCTTATGGAAAATGACAATGAGCCTCAGAAAGTTTTGCAGGGTTAGATTTTTTAAAAACAGTTATTCCACTTAGAAATTTGAGACTCCTGAATTCTAGCTGATTTCCCTAAATGAAAGCTTTCCTTTTTATAGGGCTTATAGATAAAACTCTTCCAAAACTAGGCAAAAATACTCTTCCTTTACTCGCAAACTATTCTGAATCTCAGCCTAGCAGAGCAAGTGAAGAAATAAATAAATATGTCTTATTCTCTGCTCAGAGAGACAGCATGACAATAATTCACTGTTAAAAATAACCTAATTTTTAATGCAAGTGTTTATTTTCAAAATGTAATTCATACATTTTAGTTAGACCTTACACTACTCAATTTGAAAATCAAGTTGGAAAGATAAGTGGAAGTTTTTTCCTAATGCAAGTTTTCCATCTATATTTTTAGGAATGTCTTTGCCCTGGTTAACTGTCAGAAGCTGACCTTCCTAAATGCCCCATATCTAGTGAATCAATTTAACTGTATAGGCAGCTTGTTCTGTGGTAAATTACATAGCAAACAACCAGTGCAATTATAACACATGCAGGCTCATTCTGATGCATAAGAAGATAATTTAAAATGATGCAGAACCCTTTCCCCCTTACTAAAAAAATGCTAATTCCCTTTAATATGGACTTGGTCATACAATTTTCTCTCCTCCCCCTCCCTTCAAGAAAAATTACTGAGTTACAGTTCAGTATAATGTAAAGACACAATTGAAGTTTGTGGAATGCCCCTTTGGAAGGCGCAAAATATGGAAGGCTTTATAAACTGGGATAATAGTCTTATTCAGAGAGCAACAATTTATGTGAAAATTTAGTAAGGGCCTCAACACCTCAAATAGCTGAATACAGTAAAGTATCCACTACGCATGAAAGCATTTTTTAAAACTCAAGCTGACCTTTAGAAGCATCTATCACTTAGAATCTTCATTCAGTAAATTGGACTGGTGTCTCCCCTGGTGGGACTATCATTGTAACGACACTACCTAGCAGGAATGCTGTTTTATAAAGCATGCTAGGGTCAATGCTTCCACCTACAAACATTGTATTTAGAAAGGTTTCCAGTTACTACAAATAGTTGCTATAAATGGATTAACACTCTCAGTGCTTTAGTTAAAAGATATTTAAATAACTGTTTATGCCAACAAGTTTTATAGGCAATAACTTTTTAATAAGAAATCTCATTATTTTGGCAATGGGTGAAACTTCAAGGGAGCAACTCTTTGCTTGATTCAGATTTTCAGGATTATTCTTTTTGGTAAATTTATATACTTTGTGTTAATTTGTATAGCACAGTCAAAACTTAAATTTATAAGCCATTATTTTGATTCAAAGGAGCCCTGGTGGTGCAGTGGTTAGTGGTTAAGCACTCAGCTTCTAACCAAAAGGCCAGCGGTTCAAACCTACCAGCCGCTCCACGGGAGAAAGATGTGGCAGAGTTCTACTCTGTCCTATAGGGTTGCTACGAGTCAGAATGGACTCAACAGCAATGGATTTGGTTTTTATTTTGATTCATATAGATTTGTGTTCTTCTTAAGCTGTTTACAAGCTGTTGAATTAGCATTGATCATTAGAGTACTTAGTGATAAATCAAATACTTTGTTGAATCATATAAATAACTCTTCTGAGGTTCAAAAATAACAACATATTGGCAATTTCATAGATTCAATCTACAACCAAGGTTGGCAGATACATAATATGACGGCTATCAGTCAATAACACAGGTGGTTGATATGCAATATATAATGTTGAATGAATGATATCATGTTATCATCTAATTGACACAGACAGTTGAAGTGCAATACATAATGCTGAATGAATGAATAAATGGTAGATAGCTGATACAGCTCTATTTTCCCTAATCAATCTTTTTAGAGACATTCAGCTTTGGTTAAAATTTCTGGGTAAATTGTATTAGTTTAATATGTCTCTTTTGCACTCTAGGAAGCAGAGAAGTGTATGGATTTCTTCTATATTTTTTGGTCACATGCAATTGTGTTACTCCCTACATTATCTCTTCATTTTTCTCTCTCAATTTCTCACTCTTTCTCTGTCTAAATGTAATCCAGTCTGAAAAATAAACTAGATTTTCTGCTAGCCTTCCTTTCAGGACTGTAATTGCAAGATTTCTTTCAAACATATATCAATGGACGTACTCAAGGCAAAACACAAGGGCATTTTTTGACTAGGAGCAGTCTGTGTGTGAGAGTTAAATTTTTTGACTAGGAGCAGTCTGTGTGTGAGAGTTAATGCAAGCAATTTGGATGCACCAGCCATAGGCTTCTTTTCATGACACATTAGAGATGCAAGACCTGGTCTTGCCAGTATGCCATACTTTTATTTTTATCCCCAGATGTAAAACAATGCAGACTTTATTTTCATAATTCACGATTTAACAGTTGAAACTTGGACAGTGAATGAAAGGTTATTAATATTTTATTTTATAACAAATATTTACGGCATTCTCAGTGAATACTGCAGATTATTTTCCAGACTTCTAATACCTTCCAAGAAAATCCTCTTCGTTTTAATTTGTCAGTGTGTTCAGTGGTATTTGCTTTCCTAAGATGTGAGCACATGCCGGTTCACTGACTTCCCAATTGTTTCTCTGGCTGAGCAAAGCTTTTATTCCGGTGGCACATATCCATGACAGCTGTTTATTCCACATGTTTCTGTTGAAAGCATATTAACCTCAGCACCTGGGGATAATTATCATTATGTACAAATGCCTTTGGATGTTAATGGTTACTCTTCTACCCTCTCTCTTGATTCTCTTGACCCTGGTATCACTATAGACTAATACCATGTGTGTTCATGGTACTGTTAACACCTGGAAAGTCACCCACACTGGCGTTGGTTAGGAACGCTTTCTGGGCTTTGGTAAATATTATTTAATTAGCTATGTAGAAATCAATAAATAGATCTTTCAGCTCCCACTCCCTGGGCAGTATTAACATTGACTAGTAGTAATAATGTGATTCATTGATCTTTATTTACCTGGCATCACCTAGATAAAACCCTTTTTTTTTTTTTTTGAGTTCTGGGTGTGGCAATAATATGACAAGCTGGTGAAAAAAATCATCAATATTCTGATTATAGATATATTTGATTCGATTTCCCAATTTTTATGTAATTAACTCATACAGTAGAGTAAAAAACAGTAACAGTTACTTTCTAACTTTCTTAGCCTTGTAATTTCAACATTTTCTTGTGTGGTTGATATAATACATAATATAAATTCACATATTCTGACTATATTTGTTTACTTTATTCCCTAGGAAACTGCTTCTGTCCAAGGGTAGTTCCCTGCCTGTTTCCATTACCATATGCAGAATATTAGACCCAGGAGGGAGCGTTCAGATCACTTATCCAATCTCTTCATTTTACCAATAAAGAAAAATAAATAAAGAGACCCCAAGAGAAGAGACCCTATAAAAGTAAAGCAGTACTGAAGAAGAACAAAGTGAGAGGTTTTACCCTACCTGATTTTAGAACCTATTAAAACCACAACAGTAGTCAAAACAGCATGGTACTGGTCCAACAACAGATATATAGAACAATGGAACAGAATTGAGAATCCAGATGTAAATTTATCCACCTATGAGCAGCTGATACTTGACAAAGGCCCAAAGTCTGTTAAATGGGGGAAAAGACAGTCTCTTTAACAAATGGTGCTGGCATAACTGGATATCCATCTGCAAAAAAATGAAACAAGACCATACTTCACACCATGCAAAAAAACTAACTCAAAATGGATCAAAGAACTAAATATAAAATTGAAAATGATAAAGATCACGGAAAAAAAAATAGGGACAATGCTAGGAGCCCCACAAACAGAATGCAAAACATAACTAACAACACACAAACACCAGAAGAGAAAGTAGATAACTGGGAGCTCCTAAAAATCAAACACTTACGCTCATCAAAAGACTTCACCGAAAGAGTAAAAAGAGAACCTACAGACTGGGAAAAAATTTTTGGCTAAGACAAATCCGAACAGCGTCTAATCTCTAAAATCTATAAGACACTGCAAAACTTCAACAACAAAAAGACAAAAAACTCAATTAAAAAATGGACAAAGGATATGAACAGACACTTCACCAAAGAAGACATTCAGGCGGCTAACAGATACATGAGGAAATGCTCATGATCATTTGCCATTAGGGGAACGCAAATCAAAACTACAGTGAGATACCATCTCACCCCAACAAGGCTAGCATTAACCCAAAAAACACAAAATAAATGTTGGAGAGGTTGTGGAGAGACTGGAACACTTATACCCTGCTGGTGGGAGTGTAAAATGGTATAACCGCTTTGGAAATCGATTTGGCGCTTCCCTTAAAAGCTAGAAATAGAAGTACCGTAAGATCCAGCAATCCCAGTCCTTGGAATATACCCTAGAGAAATAAGAGCCATCGCACAAATAGATATATGCATACCCAAGTTCATTGCAGCACTGTCCATAATAGCAAAAAGATGGAAACAACCTAGATGTCCATCAATGGATAAATGGATAAACAAATTATGGTATATCCACACAATGGAATACTATGCAACAATAAAGAACAACGATGAATCCTCAAAACATCTCATAACATGGATGAATCTGGAAGGCATCATGCTGAGTGAAATTAGTCAGTCGCAAGAGGACAAATATTGTCTGAGACCACTATTATAAGAACTCAAGAAAAGGTTTAAACACAGAAGAAAACATTCTTTGATGGTTATGAGAGTGGAGAGAGAGAGGGGATTCACTAACTAGATAGTAGACAAGCATTATCTTAGGTGAAGGAAAGGACAACACACAATACAGGGAAAGTCAGCACAACTGGACTAAACCAAAAGGTAAGCAGTTTTCTTGAATATAACCAAACACTTTGAGGGACAGAGTAGCAGGGGCTACAGAGTAGTCTGGGGACCACGGTTTCTGGGGACATTGTCATGGTTTGAATTATGTCCCCCAAAAAATGTGTGTATCCATTTGGCTGGGCCATGATTCCCAGAATTGTGTGGTTGGCCTCCATTTTCTGATTGTAATTTTATGTTAAAGAGGATTAGGGTGGGATTGTAACACCACCCTTACCCAGGTCACATCCCTGATCCAATGTAAAGGGTGGTTCCCTGGGGTGTGGCCTGCACCACCTTTTATCTCTCAAGAGATAAAAGGAAAAGAAAGCAAGCAGAGAGTTGGGGACCTCACACCATCAAGAAAGCGGGGAGCAGAGCAGGGTCCCTGGGCTGAGAAGCTCCTAGTCTGGGGGAACACTGATGAGAAAGCCGAGAGAGAGAAAGCCTTCCCCTGGAGCTGACACGCTGGATTTGGATTTTTAGCCTACTTTACTGTAAGGAAATAAACTTCTCTTTGTTAAAACCATCCACTTGTGGTATTTCTGTTATAGCAGCACTACATGACTAAGACAGACATCTAGAACAATTGGCATAACAAAGTTTATTAAGAAAATGTTTTGCATGCCACTTTGGTGAGTGGCATCTGGGGTCTTAAAAGCTAGCAAGTGGCCATCTAAGATGCATCGATTGGTCCCAACCCACCTGGAGCAAAGGAGAATGAAGAACACCAAAGATACAAGGAAAATATTAGCTCAAGAGACAGAAAGGGCCACATAAACCAGAGACTGCATCAGCCTGAGACCAGAAGAACTAGATGGTGCCCAGCTACCACCAATGACTGCCCTGACAGGGAACACAACAGAGTCCCTGATGGAGCAGGAGAAAAATGGGGTGCAGAACTCAAATTCTAGTAAAAAGACCAGACTAATGGTCTGACTGAGACTGGAGGAACCACAGAAGACAGACCCCGAAGTCTCTGTTAACCCAGAACTAAAACCACTCCCGAAGCCAACTCTTCAGACAAAGATTAGACGGGACTATAAGATGCAAAATGCTACTAGTGAAGAGTGTGCTTCTTAGTTCAAATAGCTACAGGAGCCTAAATGGGCAGCTTCTGTCTGGAAGCAAGTTGAGAAGGCAGAAAGGGATAGGAGCTGGCTGAATGTACAAGGAGAACCCAGGGTGGAAAGGAGGAGTGTGCTGTCACATTATAGGGATAGCAACTAGAGTCACCTGACAATGTGTGTATAAATTTTTGTACGAGAAACTAACTTGAGCTGTAAACTTTCACTTAAAGCACAATTAAATAAAAGAAAGAAGGAAAGAAAAAAGAGAGACCCCAAGAGACTTGTTTAAGAACACACAGCTTGATAAAAAATACTGGTAACTTAACTGGGTTTTGTAATACCCTAGACAGGCTAAGCTGTAGCATTCAATGTATAGAAACTATAAATTTGATAAAAATCATTCATTATCCATATAGTTCCTTTACAGCTATGTAACTTGTGTTCACATGTGTTCCATAAGTAGAAGTGTTTCTCTTTGGCATAGGTTCCATCACATTCCTTGTTTGATTGCCAGAGTATCTAGCTCTCCTCCTTCTCTGTTGAATTTTCTGAGTGATCCTTCTTTCTCCTTGCCTGCTTGGCAAACAAGGTTCTTCACTGGGTATTTAGGTTACATCAACTTCAACTACTCTTAGGCATATCTGTAAGTCTGTATTTCCAACCCTGATCACACTCCTGAGATCCAGATCCACATTTGCAATTGTTCACAAGTACTCTTCACCTGGATATCAGACATGTTACACTCAACATGGCCCAAACTAAACCAAAATTGTCTTATTCTCCTCACCTTACTTCTCCAGACTTCTTCTGTTATATTTTCTATTTGGTTACTAACTTAACAATCTATGTTGTTGTTGTTGTGTACAGTCAAGTCAATTCCAACTCATAGCAATGCTGTATGACAGAATAGAACTGTCCCATAGGGTTTTCTAGGTTGTAATCTTTATGGAAGCAGATCTCCAAGTCTTTCTCCTGCAGAGCCACTGGGTAGGTTCAAACTACCAACCTGTCAGTTATCAGCTGAGCGCCGATAACTATTGGGCTTCCTGGGCTGCAACAAGCTATACAGGCAATCAAATTAGATACTTTAGAGTCACAGTGGGTTTCTCTACCGCTCCCACCTCCACCACATCTAATCAATCACGAAGTTTTCATAACATCCTGTATTGATACCTCTTATTTATCCCCTCCTATCCTTCCCCATTCTAATACAACTCATTATAATGCATGACACTTAATAGGTGCTCCACCAATATTTATTGATAAATAAGAATTATAAATCAAGAAATAAGGAATGAGTGAATGGATGATAACTAAGACACAGTTTCCACCCTTATTTAGCATCTTGCCTGGTAGTTCGAGAGAAATAAATAAAGAGATATTTACATGATGCATGCTATGTTTGAGGAAAGAAAGAGGACATATATAAGAGGCACTTTACCTAAGCTGGGGGCTCAAGGAAGTCCTTTTGAAAAACGACTGTCTAAGGTAATGAACATATATTTTTTAACCCATTTATGATCTACCCCATTTTGTACTAATCTCTTTAGATTGAGTAGCAGGAGAAAATTGGATGGAAACAAGATGGAATTTAGTGATTTCTATAAAGACCAGTTGCCTTTTCTACTCCCCAGACAGCCATGACTACTTTAATGTTGTTTACTATTTTTCCTAAAGGACTTCAGATCTCTGTCTCACAAAACTAATGACTCACAGAGAAACGCTTTGTCCCAAACTTACACTAACAAGTTATGAAACATGAAGTTCCAATTAAATAGCAGATTACATTGTTCTATAAACTTAAAAGAATTCAAATGGATCTTATATATTACAGAAAGTATAGACTATATAAATGTACTGATAGAGCCATAGGCTGAGCTCAGCCATCTTACGAGGTATGAGATCAATTCTGTGTGGGTCTCCACTATGCAATGACATTCAAAATAGACAGGCTTTTCAGGCAGTCTTTTCTGGATTTATTTGTTCTTTAATGAACAAACCATCACTAATAATAATGGCAATAATAATAATTACTCAATGTTTGCTAATGCATCATCTATAAAAAGACTCAATATAGAATTTAGAAACATTCTTCCTTCATAATATGAAATAATATCAGTAGGAAATAATCAAGGTTCTAAAGTATACAATTAATATAGAAGAAACATTTTTTTGCTCTTTTAAAAAATTGTTTCCCCTTAAACTTTTGTTTCAGTGTTAATTGGTCAACAGTTATGAAACAAACACATCAGACAATAATCTTGTTTACTTTCTACCTTCCATATATGATTCAGTGAAGAAACCAATGGATTTAATCCTCATTTGCAAGTGAAAAGTACAAACTACTTATACTTATTTAATTAATCAAATAGCTCAAAAAACACCTTTATGAGTTTAATACAGAAAAGACTAAGAAATACCTAACTAACAAGCAAACATAGCCGTATTTTCCCCCATTCAGTTTATTTTTTCCACGAGGAAGAAAACTCACCCCTAAATATAAGCCACTTTGTTTTAATTCACTTCATGTTATATGTAGAGAAATTCACTAAACAAAAAATTGTCCCCTTTCATTCCCTTTTGTAAATGGACCATTTAAAATATTTAGTCTGA